GTTACCCATCATCACTTTTCTGCAATAATAACGTATGTTTAAAACCTATGATTACACAATAAAAGGCCTTTAAGTTGAATAAAAAGTTGCATCTCAAACATCCAAATGAATAAACTGGGAAGCCCTGCTGTCCCATTGCAATGAAAGTTGCTGGAGTTGGCTGAGCTGTGGGTGGAGGGCTTGTTTACTCCCTGCTGCCCACCTTTTGTTTTTTATCCTCCTGCCTGCCAGGTTCTCTTGCCTCTCCCGGGCTGCAGTTCTGGCTCTCCTCAGTGGTACAACACAGATGTACTTAACATCTGCCCCGCACATGAAGAGGGCGCTTCCAAAATATGCTGCCCCGTTTAAGCCGAGTTCTTTCAAAGGCCAAACCAAGGTCGAACAGAAACGGCGGAGCAGGGCGCGGTAGCAGCTGGTGGCAAATATGTTACATAATAACAGCTCAACTGAACTGAAGCAGACCTTAAATACTGATTTGTCATTTAACGCAGGCAAACTTGCTCTAAAGGTACTCATTGCATTGTCATGAGAATTAGTAAAAAAAAAAAAAAGTAAGAAATTTTTCCCTTAAATTAAAAATTTGTAAGCAAATTTAGAGATCGCTGGCAAGTACCACTTGTGTTTGTTTACCTTCAGAAACAGCCGAACTGACTGAAAACGGGTCAAGTGGTCCGTGAAGGAGCTGTTTGGGATGRGTCAGACAGCAATGATGCATTGGTACATATTTGTTGAGTAAAGTGTGCTTTTTAAACCACCAGGTGAATTTATAGACTTGGTGAGTTTCTTCCATTTGTCTGGAAATAAATAATAGTCCCCAAAGTGGATAAATAGTTCTCTGTATTTTCTCATTGCACATGTGATCGCATGTTGATCAGCAGGCCTTGATCAAAGACCCAGAGTAGGGTCAATTATATTGTTGGTCTGAGGAGTTGAGCCAGCAACCTTCCGTTGCTCCACCTCAGGTATGGACAGTACTCATGCTGATCAAATGTGGGGTTGAGGTCAGGACTGCTGGCAGTTCCTCTAAACTCCCCATATTCTGGGGGTAGTCTCTGATAAACCACGCTTTTTGGGGGYGAGTCTTGTTATCTTGGAGAATAGAGTTTGATCCCAGATTGTGGAGCTATAGGACTGCAGCACCTGGGGGTACTAGAAGCTTAACACAAGTGTCTACAGTTACAGCAAAATAAGCTGTTTGGCAATGGCAAATTTGTTTGTGTTCAACCCACATATTCAGCTCGACTGCTCATCCCACAAACAAACAAAAAAGAAATTAACAGGTTTTCCAACAGTATTTGAATATTACCAAAAAACATTGTTAAAAACAGAACTAATCCACCAAAACCCATTTTCCTCAGTTTTTGTGCTAAGTTTGGTTTCAAAAAGCCACTCTTTAAACACCGCAGTTAGATTTGCTGTCAGCTCCTGTGATTTTTTAAACCTTTTTTTAACCTCTTGTACATTTTTACCTTTTATTTTAATGTTATGTTTTAATGTTATATTTAATTTTATTTTAATGTCATGGATGTGCAACACTAACACTATATAAATCAATCACATGACTCAATTATATTTCATATGGATTCAGTGTTTTATTTACATTGAGTGCCTGCATTTTAGAATTGCTTAACTAAAAAAATAAGCTTTCTCAAACTGTAGCATTTTATTTATATTTCAGGGCATTTTTGATGTTTTATTAAGCACCTGCACAGATCGATGCAGATTAGATTCATGATCACACTTTCATATTTTTGTGTTTTGTAGCTTTTTGATGTTATTTAAAAAAAAACGGTAATTCTACCTGCTGTTTCTGCAAGTTTTAACTGTTTGATTTATCTGTGTTTCAGGAAATAAAAGAAGCAAAAATAACTGGATTTTCAATACAATTAAATAAAATCTGAAAGTAAAAGATTATTAGTTGTTGTTGTTTTGTTTTTTGCCTGTTTATACAGTAGCAGAGGTGACTCTTCAGACCAAGCGTTCTTCATCTTACCTCAGTAAGTTTCTTGATGTCATTGGTCTCTCATGAAGAAAGCGACATGAACTTGCAGCAGAGAAGAAGCCTCTTGTTTATGTTTTTGCAGCTTATCACATCAGACCGGGCTGAATATTTTAACTCAAAACAAATGCCTTGCAAAATGAAAAAAATATATATCTTTTTGGCAACAAGTTCAGGCACACTAACTGAAAAGACAGGTGTACGTGTGGTATTTCCAGATGCAGCGGACAAAATGGATCATTTTCTTGATTTTTTTTTATTGTCATCACATCACATCAGCTAAATGTAAACCTGAGAGATCTACTTCAAATCTTCCATATGGGAGCATTCATTTATATATTTGTTCCAGTGATCATGAAACGCAGACATGTTCGTGTGTTCAGTCACATCTCACCTTCTCAATAGTTTTAAAAARGAAATCATCAAAAATATATAGGCGGCTGTTGTTCTACACCTTCTGAAAAATGGTTGCCCCCTTCTTTCCCCTCCCTCCGGTCCTGCTATTTTTTTGTCAGGCTCAATTTGCAAAGAGGGCCCTTGGCTGGAGATGGAGATGGAGGAGGAGGAGCAGGAGGCCACTGGCAGTTATGGTAGGGGCCCCCGAAGGGGCAAAAAACAGTTTCTAAAGAGTGGGAGGCAGGAATTCCTTCAATCCAAGCCTGGCTGACTGTGAGGGGGGGTGGTGGGGGGGTGGATCTGCCTGCTAAACATTCAGCTTTCGCTGTGGGCTGAGTGGCCTTTGAAATCCAGCTGCAGGCAGGATGGGTGGCAGATTAAAAAACAATAAGTGAGGGAGGAAGAAATCGTAAAAAAATACAGTAAAATAAATAAATAAGAGAGAGAGAGAGAGAGAGAGAGAGAGAGAGAGAGAGAGAGAGAAGAGGGAAATGAGAAAGAGATCAAGGTGTTTGGTAAAGTGTGTGTGTCTAAAATGGCTCTGCTCCATCAGGGGCCTCAAGCCCCCCCACCACCACCCCAATCAGTGAGGGGACCTCCGCAGATTATCCCTCATCTGAGCTTGTATGTCTTGACCTCAACAACCCTGCAGCCTGCTCTTCATATTTTTTCCTCTCCTTCACTCTCTGTTTTTCACACACACACACACACACACACACACACACACACACACAC